ACTTACGAAAACACTAATAGAATGAAACGAGATATTGTTGAATTTGTATCACAATGTCTGACATTCTAGCAAGTGAAGGCAGAATTTCAAAAGACCTAGGGGTTTGCTGCAACCCTTACCAGTACCGGAATGGAAATGATAACACATCTCTATGGATTTTGGGATAGACTTACCAAAGACCCAATCAAATCATGATAACATTTGGGTGATTATGGATCGACTAACAAAGTCCTCTCACTTTCTTGCCATGAGGATTACTGATTTAGTAGATAAACTGGTCAGATTTCATGGAATCTCCGTCTTAATTGTCTCCAAAAGAGACCCCAGATTTATTTCTAAATTTTGATAAAGTCTCCAACAGGCCACGAGCACAAAATTAAACTTCAGTACAACTTTTCAGCCCCAGATAGATAGGCAAACCAAAAGAACCATTCAGTTATTAGAGGACATGCTACGAATGTACATCATAGATATCAGTGGGAATTGGGATGAGCTGCTACCCCTGATGGAGCTTGCATACAACAATAGTCACCATGCTAGTACTAGAATGACTCCTTTTGAAGCCTTCTATGGTAGGCCTTGCAAGTTACAGATATGTTGGGACAAAGTCGAGAAAAAGAAGATGATTGGACCAGAACTTGTTGACGAAACCACCGTGATGATATTCGTGATCAGGAAAAAGCTTCAGACGGCACAATGCAGATGAAAAGGTTATACAGACAACAAGAGAAGAGATCTCGCCTTTGAGACAAGTGACCATGTGTACCTAAAGGTATCACCAATGAATGGTCTCTTGAGATTCGAAGAGGAAGGAAAACTGAGTCCCCGATTCATAGGGCCCTTTGAAATACTAGAGAGAGTGGGCACGACTTCTTACACAGTAACACTTCCATCAGGATACTCTAGAATTCACAATGTGTTTTACATATCAATGCTATGCAAGTGCCACTCCGACCCATCACCTATCATACAAAATGAGTCATTTTCCTAGAAAAAAAACTTGGTGTACAAGGAGAAGCATGTTTGCATACTTGAGCGATAGGAAAAGGCATTAAGGAACTGAAAGATATTGATGGTAAAAGTTATATGGCAACACCATTCTAAAAAAGAGTCGACATAGGAAGGGGAAGACCTAATGAGAGCAAATCACCCTCAACTATTCGAAGATATGTAACTAAATTTTGGAGACCAATTTTCTTTTAAAAGAAGATGTTGTAACATTTCGAGATCTTAAAATATTTTAAAGGAAATGTAGATGTATGTATGGATAAATAAATAAAGCAATATAACTCAGTGTTAAACTAAAACCCAAATATGAATTATAAATGCAAGTAATGAAAATTAAACAGGAAGAATTTACTGAGAATAATGAGAGTGTTCGGTAAAGATTTCAAAAGAAGGAACTTAAATGAGAGGAAATAATCAGAACTGGGGCAGAATTGGAAATTCCCAAAGAGCAAACATGTCAGCAAGTCAATGAGTTGGGGAGTCAATCAGATTCTGCCACACATGCAGGCAATGTCAGAACATGTCGTTAGAGCAAAGAATGGCTCAGATGAGCCTGGTGGTACTGACTATGCACCTTGAACGGTGCAGATTAAAATATCCCACAATAGACGACTGGGATGGCACAAAACTTTTCAATGACTGCGATTTATCTGAATCTAGCATAAAAGAGGACGTGAGCTGCATTGAGAAAGGTAGACAGTGAGTGAGAGCAGGGAAGTTGGCCGAAGAAGGAACGGGTAGTGATTCGCGAAGGACTAAAAGGACAAAGAGACGAGGAGGGTCCGAAGGAGGACTGCTACTACAGGCAAACATCCTACTATTGGAAGCAAGAGGTAAGAAAAAATTGAATTCCAAACCTCGAGTCTGAGACTCGAACATTTGATTCTTGCAATAGATGTGATGTATGTTTCACTAGGAGTTAAAGTAAACCCTGGATAAATTGAAGATTGAACTGGTGTAGGCTAGGAGTTTTCCATTACAAGTTGAATAGATCATAGCCTGATCCTGATCAATAGAATCAGGATGAGCGAGTGATAAGAAATGAACAGGGAGGTCAAAGAGAATAGAGGTTGAGAGAATCAGGAATGCTAGTTAGAGTTAGAAGAATTTTAAACTGGTGAAAGTAAGTTGAGGTGAGGGAGCAAAAATAAACAAATAGGAGAGCGCATACAGATAATGATAGATTGAAGGAGTTGAGGAGAGGAAAGAGGAATGCCCAGGAGAATCGTAGGGGTTTTGTGTGAGAGATGTGTGGGAATTGCTAAACTGTCAGGTAAAACCAAGACAGGAGGACGAAAAGAGGAAGAGTCAAAGTGGAAGCTATGCAGAAACTGATTTAGGCTTGATTGGGGAGTTTGTGAAAATGAAACATACAAATAGCAGGAAAATGGGAGACTGCTCTTCAGAAAGTAAGTGCACAGGATAAGAGAACGATAAAGGGTTTAGGATAGTGGACAAAAAACAGAGAAGAATTGAGAGACTTGTTCTTTAGCAATGAGGAAAAGAAAGGAGAGAATAGGAACTAAGGAGATAGAACATAGGGGAATTTTGAGGCTAAAAGTTGTAAAGGGGAAAACTAAAACCTAGATAGGATAATTTAAGTTTCTGTCGGGTTGAGTTGATGTGTGTGAGAGTAGCCACCTTGTGGTTGTCGAGTGAATAATAATTTTGTGCATTACATCTAAAATTCTGTATTATCCTATTTGCCATTTTTATTGCTGACCTGTGCTCTAGTGGAAGCAGCGTGTGTGGCCTGCTGTTGGTTCATGTGGTGTGTATGTCATTTCAAGGGAAGAACGACAGAGCAAATTGCCCTGGGTGGCCGTGCAGTATTGATCTCAGTAGGGTAGGGGTTGTCTGTCATTTATCTGGAAATGCATGGGTACCTTGCCATGTAGAATATGTGAGTCTTGAATGTATATATGTGCAAATGAGTTTCAAAGTCTGCCGTGTATGCAGTGTTAATTCCAGGAATGGAGTAGCTATGTGTAATTTCCATGGATGGTAAGGTATAGACAGGGATACAATATTCATATGGTGGCAATGGGGAGTGCATTCTGGAAAGAAAACTACATGAAAGGTTGTGGCTATATTGAGAGATTGGGTTATGCGTGGGAGTGAGTTGTGTTAATAGCAATTGATAGTAGAGGAATTCTAGAAGATAAATAGGAGTGAGTGAAAGAGGGTAGCAGGGTTGTGAGAGCTCTGCCGAAATGTGAATTGGGGATTGTGATGAGGATAATCCGAATATGGGTGATACTGATCTCAATTCGTTGGGTTAGAATTCTAAATTTCACTTACTCATTATTGTTTTTATAACAGATCCAGTGAAGCAGGAACAGAAACAAGATTTACAGGGAACATATCCTAAGACACAGAGATCATGGAAAAAGTTGGATGCAGTAGTACATGATTTAATATATTCACACAAACACACACAATCGAGCTAGTATACATGCTGTATGAATATTTTCTTTTCCTTACGGCTAATACAAAACATGATGGTTGAACTTTACAAGTGAATTAGGTACCATATGGGGATACATACATTAGATGTGCGGCTGAACATAGCTTGGAATGACAATTACTTCCTGATTTATGTTGGGTGGTGTTACTCTATGGGATATATTACCAAAAAGTAGGAATGAGTTGTTATGGCGCCGTAATTCTTCATAGTGCGGACCGAACTAAAAATTTTCAAAATATCACATCATATTAAAACTATTTTTTTTTTATATATTCAAAGGTCAAAAAGTACAAAATTAATCAATTAATTATTTCACTCCTTAAAGAAATAAAGGAGAAACGTTACTAAAAGGAAGATCGATGTTGTAATCGTTATTCGGCAACTAATCATAATTATTTTCTCTAGTAATTAATTGAACAGTATATAATAAAATTGAGACGTAACTATCACACTTCTGATGTACTTCTATTTTAATTAATGAAGAAAGCATAATTATACTAAACAAAGAATTCTATTGATGCCTTGTAATTTCTTTCTTTTTGTTTTTGGTTTAAA